TAATATAAAATTAAAGAAAAATGATGGAGGATATATAAACTGTTATCAAATATTTATTATTAGAATCATTAAGTGTCATATATATATATTAGTCATTTATGGTAATTCCGTAGGTTTTATTTATGGAAATAAAATAAAATAGTAATTATATCTTAGGAAACAATAATTAAGTGTCATATATATATATTAGTCATTTATGTTAATTCCGTAGGTTTTATTTATGGAAAGAAAATAACATATCATATCATTATATCATATAGTTTGACTAACTAATGTAATCCAATGTGGACTTAATTATTTTTCAATTGAATCTAATTGACTATCTAATTGAATGACACCTATGCATTGAGGCCTCTTTTAATTAATACAAAATTGAGGTTACATCTTTTCAAATGTTTTTCAATTAATATATAGGGGATTAAATTTAGCAATATGAAACCAGGTGATTATGTATTGTGTTCCCGACAAACTCCAACGAATTAGTATAAATGAAATGTTTTCTCCTCGTATCAATTTCTTGGGTCTATCTCCTCAAGAGAACACAAGTTGAATTTAGCTATGTAAAACAGGTTTCTTTCATAAGAAGAACACAAAAGAAAAACATTCTAAATACCAAGACAAGTCAAGTGAAGGCAAGAAAAAAACAAACACATTAGGTTATGCGTTTGCCAAGACTACATAATAGAAGTGAATTAGATTGATAGTTAACGGTTTAGAGGTGTATGTATTCTTATTAATAACACAAGTCTGCAATCCGTCTTCAAGTAAACAAACACATTAGGTTCTGTCTCCAGTTGCAGAGATTACATAACACAGACGTGAAGAACATAGATAGTTAAAAAAGGTTCGATGATAAACTCTCCTCAGTGTTATGTTCTTTTCTATCCACCGTGCAATGTCGAGATGAAAACAATAACATCTTTTTCTTCGATTGTTGTCTCAAGCTGACCACTTAGCTCCCAATCACAGTCATTCACTAACACAAGAACACCAGGTCTCCTGCACAAGAACCGCCTTTTCCATGTTAATAAAACATTCATCATTAAACCTTCAAAGATTGAGCTGATGAAAGAAGCAGAGACATACACAGTATCACCCTTGATGAACATCTCAGGCCTCTCTTTGATCACATTTGAACGAACCCAAGAAAGCAAATCCTTCATTGTCAACTAATTTTAAAGATAAAACTGTGAGCTTTTATATAAAGCTTTAATAATATGATGGAAACACAAAATAAAGATTGAAGGTTTATACATCATCTTCTCCATGGGGCAAATCAACGTTTACTTTATGGATCTTTTGAGAATCGCAGAGCAGCTCTAAACCACCCCTATAGATCATATCAAAGTCTAAATCAGTGAACAAAGAACTATACACAAATATATATATTCAATCCTTCACACTAAATCTAATAAGCAAAATTAGCTGAGAGTTGAGAATTTTTCGAAAGTAAAATTCACAGAGAGAGGGAAAAACTCACCCAAATTCAAGAGTTAATTGCATCTTCGTCGACGATCTCGAGTACAAACCCCAGCTCTTTCTAGGGTTTTCGTCTTTCGGCTTTGTAGTAACCAAAAGGGAGACGAAGAATCAATCACTGACAAGTTAAAACGACAGCGTTTAAGAGTTCGTTAATTGGGCTCTTTAAGTGGGCCTTAAATATATAACCACTAGATAAGGGCCTATTACTTTTCCCTATGAATGATCCTGTGCTACGCACACGTTAAAGATGACTCATCGAAGCGTAACCGTTGATTTAACGAGCTGCGCATATCGACGGACAGGATTGGTCCTAATCTCCAGCAACAAAGAAGAGAATGAGAAAAAAAAAAAGAGATTTTTAACGAGAATGGGATGATGATCTTTCTTCTTGTGAAATAGAGATTCAGCTCGATTCCAAACAAAAATTGTAATTTGATCGTGCTTGCGAAGCTCCATGGAAGCGTATAAGCAATGGGTACGGAGAAATAGAGAGTATGTGCATTCCTTAGGATCTCTTGCCAACGTAAGAAGATTCATTCCTCTTCTAGACTTGTTTGAATCTTTGCTTGAGGAGTAGTGTTTTTTATATATAGAGTGAAATTTTTAGATTGAACCGTTTCTCTGTTGAAGCACTTGCAAAAGCTTAATACTTGAATTAGTTTAGTTGATTTGATTCGGTTATGTGATCTTAATCGCTCTGTTCTAAGTGTATTTGAGTTTTTGGTTTATTTTAGGGATTGACATGGCTGCTTCCTGAGAAGTTTTCTGCTTCAGAGATTGGACCCGAAGCAGGTTTTTTTGTGATTCTTTTGGTAACACCTTTTGTTTTACTGCTTTGGCTTCACAACTTGCATGCTTTACTTTGTACCTCTCACATAGTTTAGTGTCTTTTTAAGTCTTTGATAAATTCATTAACATAATCTTTAGCTTTAAAAGAATGTTTCTTTTTTGCTTTTGTCTACCTCTCTTGTGTGTTTGAGAATCTGGAAATGTGAAAGAGAGTTTTTGTAATCCTCTTTGCAGTTACGGCTTTTCTAGGCATATTCACAACCATCAATGAACACATCATTGAATCTGTTCCAACCACCCGTGCTCATGTTGGACCTTCCGGGACTGATGATGATTCATCCCTTTCTTATCCACTACTCATCTCCATCCTAAAAGACTTGGAAACCGTTGTAGAAGTAGCTGCTGAACACTTCTATGGAGATAGAAAATGGAACTTCATTATTGCAACTGAAGCGTTGAAGTAAGTTTTGCTTTATTCTGTGAGTATTAAAACATTAGAACATGCTTTGTTAGCGTTTTTGATATCTAATCAAATGTGAATTTCTCAGGGCTCTGATTAGGTTAGCCTTGTTTCGGAACACCGGATATAAGATGCTTCTTCATGGAGGGGAAACACCTAATGATGACAAAGATCCTAACCAATCCCAGCCGCAAAACAGAGCTGGTACTTTAGATAGGAATCGTTTGGGAAATCAAAACCATTATAATCCATGGAACTTGGAAGGACGGGCGATGTCAGCTTTAAGTTCATTTGGTCAGAATGCAAGAACAACACCAACATCTCCTCCCTCGGCTTGGTCTCGAAGGATTCAACATCAGCAAGCAGTAATAGAGCCTGCAATGATCAAGGAGAAGCGAAGAACACTCTCCGAGCTATTATCTGAGAAGGGTGTTAAAGGAGCCTTGTTTGTAATAGGTGAGGTTCTTTGCATAACGAGACCACTCATCTATGTTATCTTCATAAGAAGATATGGAATCAGGTCTTGGATTCCTTGGGCTATATCCCTTTCTGTGGATGCACTGGGGATGGGGATTCTTTCAAATCTAAAGTTGTGGGGAGAGAAGAGCAAGCAAATACATTTCTCTCAACTTGAAAGGGACGAGGTTAGATATATCTTGAACCTTAGTTAACATTAAATGTCCAACCCGTTTAACTTAGGTTTCTCTGTTCAGCTTAGGAGAAGAAAGCTGATGTGGGCGTTGTACCTCATGAGAGATCCATTCTTCACCAAGTACACAAGGTTAGTGGGTGAAAGTTAGTATGTATCTATGTTCTGTTCCTGCTTCAGTTTAAGTTTCAGTCATAAATCGTTATACTTTGTCCATTTTCAGGCAGAAGCTGGAAAGCTCTCAGAAGAAGGTGGAACCAGTTCCTTTGATAGGCTTCTTCACAGGTTTGCGTTAGAGATTTCATTACATTCACAAAGATATCATTGATCACTGACATAAATGCATTTTGCTGACGTTCTTTCATTTGTCTCAGAGAAAATTGTGGAGCTTTTGGTGGGAGCTCAGTCACGGTACACTTACATATCGGGATCTTGAGTTTTATCACTCTGCAACAGAACATTATCGCCACTGTGGAGAGATTCGTAGGGAATGTTACAGGCTTTGTAAGAAGTTGCGTTTATTGCAGTTAGGACATACGATCAAAGATGTAGTTTGATGATGAGCTGTTTGTGTCTGAACATTGGTCCCATACAAATAAATGAAACAAAGCATCAACGTTTTCATCAGTGCAAGTGGAACATGAAACCTTTTCATTCACTTGTGTAAATCACAATCCAAATGATTTATGCTGACGTGATTCCTATGCTTATAAATGGGTAGGCAAAACCTGGTGGGCAGCCAATTTACGATAATATCCCCTACTTTGGTGGGTTGGCCAGAAACCTGGAACCCACTGGTTTAAAAATATTAGTGTCTAAACCGGTATTATGTCTGTATTCGAGTCCGGTTTACTTTTGATCCGATCTGTTCATTTATAATCAAAAGTGGCAGAAGGTGTGGTGGGGTTCAATAATTGGGTCTTTGTTCTCAACAGTGTGTGGTGTGAGTAGCACTGGAGAGTAGGGTCCAGTCCAGGCCCTCTTTAACCCGTTTTCGTTTCATAGCCTTTTCTTTTCTTGTGGTAGGCCCCGTTTTCTGTTCATGTGTTCGGTAATGGTTCAAACCGGTTTAAGGTTTCAACAAGATTTATTTATTATTAATCAAATTGAAAGTGAAACGACTCTTGATTTGGCTAAACATGTTACTATTGTAGCTCTACTTTTGTATTGTTATCTTTTGTGTTGAATTTTGGATTGAACAGTGTCCAAGTACAAGAGTATTATTGTGAAAAGGATTAACCGGTTTAGTCCAAGGACGATAGGATGTTGGAATCCAGGAAAGGATTATTCCAAAGGCACTAATTAACCTTTTCTTGGTGGCGCAGCCTTGTGACCTACATCAATGGGGTCCAACCCCATGTATGGGCGGGCGCTAAGCTTTTTCCATAAAGTAATATTTTCTTACTACCCAATAAAAATATTCAACTAACTAAATCTGACTGGCATAAAATTAAAAATTGTCGAGAAGACCTTTTTTATAGCAAGTGAATAACTCAAATGAATTGGTTTTGGTGTAGTTTGACTTTGGTTAGGAACTGAAACTTCAGATCTCTAAGATTTATATCACCTTGAACTTTCATAAACAAATATACTAATGAGTTTTATAGAGAAATCTTACGTTGCAGAATATGGTGCAAAACTGCAAATACTAGAGACAGCAAAAAACTTTTTATTAGGAAGGAAATAAAGTTTACCGGACCCCACTGGACAGATGGTCCCATAAATAAAAGATGGAACAAACTAAACGGGATCGATCCACGTGGCAGTATCCTAGTGGCTCTCAGAAGCTCAATCCAATATTGTAAGAACCGTTGATTTTTCCCCGGATCAAAAGAAAAGTCAAGTATTCACCGTCTTTTTTTGCTATATATATATAGACCAACTCACATTTACTAATCTCACTCGACGTGAAACGCCGTTAAAAGTGATTCCTTTCCACCGTCTGCTTTCTCTCAACTATATGGCGACGATTAATAAGCACGAAGCTGAACGCCTAAGAGCCGTTGATCTAAGCATCATCAACGGCGATGTAGAAACATCTAAACATTTTGAAGAAGCCAACACAGTGAGCCTCGAGCCCAAGCCTGAGCCGTCGTCAGAACTCCCATCAATCTCAATGTCTTTAGCTCCACCATCTTCGTCACTGCGACCGCCACTGAAGAGAGCTTCGACTAAAGACCGTCACACAAAGGTCGAAGGAAGAGGCAGGAGGATACGGATGCCTGCCACGTGTGCGGCCAGGATATTCCAGTTGACTCGAGAGCTTGGTCACAAATCCGACGGAGAGACGATTCGGTGGTTGTTGGAGAACGCCGAGCCTGCGATCATCTCGGCCACGGGTACGGGAACTGTTCCCGCCATCGCTATGTCGGTTAACGGAACGTTAAAGATCCCAACCACGTCGAACGCTGATGCTGACGTGGCGGAGAATCCGGCTAAGAAGAGACGTAGACGACCTTCGAATAGTGAGTATATAGACATAAACGAAACGGTCTCGGTTTCTTCCGGTTTAGCTTCGGTGTCCACCGTGGCTCAACAAACGCTGCCGCAAGGTATGGTTCCGATGTGGGCGGTTCCGTCAAACGCGGTGGCTCCGACGGTCGGAGGTTTCTTCCTTGTTCCACACGTTTCAGGCCCTCATATATTAGCTTTTCCGGCGTTTCCTGCTGCTTCGCCGTCGTCTTACGTCGCTGCCGTTCAGCAGGCTTCTTTGATGGCTAGACCACATCGTCCTCAAGATGTTGTAAACGTTACCGGTTCAGTTATGGCTCCAAGCTCAAGCTCCGGTTTAGCAAAAGGAGGTTCGTCGTCTCCTACTACGACGAAGAATATGCTCAGAGACTTCTCGCTTGAGGTTTGCGATAAACAAGAGCTTCACCAGTTCATGACAACCACCTCTACAGCACGGTCGTTGAACCAGTGATAGAAGATTGAAACGATGGCGTATCAGTGATAATCGGAGGGAAGAAAGGGCACGTGGGCACGTGAGGGAGGGAGTAAAGACGCGCACGTGTTAAGTGGGGCTAGATTTTAGGCACATACGGGGTCCACTCCACGTAGTTGGTGGGTCAACACGCACCAAAACTGAAAAGCAGGGAGTGAGGGAAAGGGGGTCCGGCGAGTGGGAGGAGGAGGTAGTGGGCCAGATAACTTCCGTGACGGCCAGGTTGGGTTGTTGTTCCCACTTTCGTAGGGTTACGTGGACCGTTCTAGTGGGGGCCTCTCATCAGCAAGTCTTGACATTTGTGGACTTTGTTTTTTCTTGAAATTTACAAATCCTTGTAGTAATATGAAGTCTAGTGGGGGCCTCTCATCAACAAAGACAACAATTGTGATATTGATGTTTTCATTTTTAATCTTTAAGGAAATAAACATTTCGTCTAATTTTAACGAATTTATTTCTAAAATTGCCAAAGTAGATAATTCGTTTTTCTAAATGTGTTAAAAAGCTTTACTTTATTATTTCTTTTGATTGTTCTCCATAAAGTCTCGTCCGTGTTTAAATATTGGTAGGGGCCAAATAGCTTGCTTGTACCACTACTACGGCTTCGTCTCGTGGGGCCTAAACCTTCCCACTCAAGGATGCGAGTAGGGCGCCACAACCGGAGTTTTAATGCTGAGGAAATGAAAAGAACAGGCTGGCGTGTGTCCTACTTTTGTCCATCGATCTTTATCGTTCATTGCCCATTCTCTCATGATTTATAATCGTTTTTTCAGTGGTTAACTTTTTACTCTAGACACAAACTTACTACGATAAGATAATTTGTTATTGTCTGATAAGAAGCCTAGTTGTTAATTAACCCATGATTGTCATAGACTCATAGTTCATCACCTTTAGATATATTTTTAATGTGTTTGGCTGTTTGTTATAAAAGAGTACAATTATTTTTGATTTGAAGAAAACAAAGTGTAAAAGAATTATTGGAGGCTCAAACCAACCTTGCGGATGGGGTAAAAGTTCCAGAATAGTTGGCTATAGGATTCCATGTGGACTTGGATATGTTGGTCTCTTCCTTTTTTTTTGGTCAAAATGTTGGTTTCGAAACCTAGAACGATGTAATTTCAAACTAAAAGGAAAACTTGTTCGTTATTGCTTGCTTACAAATCAAAGCCCAGATAAAGAAAAACAAATAAGTGGTAGTATAGTATGTGTGCTTACATAACATATACATCCAATAAAAACCAAGAAAACTAGCATTTATGGATAAAAATATTTAAGGCCCATTATTTTGCAGGCTCGAGCTACATTTAATAGCACCACCAAGCTTAGCTTATAAAAGTTATTATTTTGCATAGCACCACCAAGCTCAGCGTATTATCTTTCGACACACATTTCAAGTCAGTCATAAAAGACTCATAACTCAAAAGAGTTGGTTTACTAACATTTTCGACACACGTTATTATACTGGTATGTCGGTCGAATATTATCCTCTAATTAAAGCTGGACAAGGACTTATTAATTTGAATATCACGGATGTAAGCTATTTTAGAGTTTGAAATTGTCAGAGAATTTCTATAAAGAAAAGATGAATGATATTTTTTCAGCATGAAAACCAATCATATTATATCAGAAAATACCAAGTTTTACTGTTTGTCAGAGAAGGAAAATATCCTAATCAATATTATGAGTTTTTTTTTTGTTTTGTTACACTTCATGCTGTATGACCCTATCATGATGTTAAGCTTAAACTAAAGAAAAGTCAGCAAATCAAACATTTAATAATAATTAGTAGGGACAATTAATTATTTTAACAAAAAATATTAAAAAGGGAAAGAAACAAAAAAAACATTCCACCACAAAGCGAGAAAGCGTGTACCAATCTCTCCCGCTCTCTCTTCTCTCTACACACACACACACACCGAGTATCTATGGCGGATCCTGATTTGTCTCTTCCTCTCATCACATCTAATCAACCAGATGTCTTCATCTCTATCGAAGACGACGGAGAAGACTCATCACTCCGGGATAATCAACACCACAACCCTCGTGGTCACGAATTCGACCATCTTAACCCGGTTAACCCTTTCCGGTTTCTCAGCGACGTCGACCCTCCGGTTCAAATTCCCACGACGGTGGATCCATTTCGAAACGATACTCCTGGAGTTTACGGACTCTACGAAATGATCAAGATCGTGATCTGCCTCCCGATTGCTTTGGTTCGGCTTGTACTGTTCGGTGTTAGCTTAGCTGTTGGTTACTTGGCAACGAAGCTAGCTCTTGCTGGTTGGAGAGATAGACACAACCCTATGCCTCGTTGGAGATGTCGAATCATGTGGGTTACTCGGTTCTGTACTAGATGCATCCTCTTCTCTTTTGGGTGAGTCTCTACAAGTTAAAAAAACAGCGAACTGTACATTCGTGTTTGTGTTTCAAAGGTGTTAGGATAGTTTGTTTCATGGTGTTGTTAGACCATGAATGGTTCCATTCAATCAATTTTTTTTTTCAAAATAGAGTAACCATTTACTCTCATGGTATTCTATTTTGTACTAACAACAAATAAATGGAGAAACCCATTTTTACTTAAAACTCTATTTTAAAGTGGAAAATAAATTGGGGTTGGAGATAATCTTATAGCTATAGACGTTAGATATGTGTTGAATGATCTTTCTTGCTTCTGCAGTTATCAGTGGATACGACGGAAAGGGAAACCTGCTCGGAGAGAGACTGCTCCCATTGTTGTATCAAACCATGTTTCTTATATTGAACCAATCTTCTACTTCTATGAGCTATCACCCACCATTGTTGCATCTGAGTCACATGATTCACTTCCTGTCGTTGGAACTATTATCAGGGCTATGCAGGTATGCAGCTAGCACATTACTACTAGTGTTTTCTTTGAGAAAAGTATTGTCAGAACATATTGATTTATACTAAAGGTTCGGTTTTTTAGGTGATATATGTTAATAGACTCTCACAGGCATCAAGGAAGGACGCCGTGGATGAAATAAAGGTATAGAGTTTCTGTGGCATGTTATTGATAACTAATAATACGGTTTCAAATAAAGAAACTCTATCAAATAGATGGCTTCATACACATCCCTTTTCATGATTTTTTTTAAAAACATTTGCTGTTTTGAAAGGATTCAAAATGTTTTTTTGTTTGTATTTGATACGCAATGTGCTTTGAAGGATGTAAATACAGAGAAAAGCTTCCTGCGATAGATTTCCTCGCTTGCTGTTGTTCCCGGAAGGTACCACTACTAATGGGAAAGCTATTATTTCCTTCCAACTCGGTGCTTTCATCCCATGTTATCCTATTCAACCTGTCGTGGTTCGGTATCCACATGTACATTTTGATCAATCTTGGTGAGACTCTTTCGTGTCTGTGTATTTTGTTTTACACACTTTCTACTTACTGATGTTTTATGACACTTTCAGGGGGAACATCTCTTTGTTGATGCTCATGTTCAGAATGGTCACCCAGTTTCACAATTTCATGGAGGTAGGTGTAAAAGCTTAGTTAATTGATTATACTATATGTTTTTGTATTTAGACTTATTTGTATAGTTTTTTATTTAGGTGGAATACCTTCCAGTAATTTATCCCAATGACAATCAAAAACAAAATGCTGTGCGTCTCTCGCAGAAGGTGTGTGTTTTCTGCATTTGACTCTTTTTTTTTATTGTGAAAAGTAGTACTCATGGTATACTTATGGATACAGACAAGTCATGCAATTGCAGCATCTTTGAATGTCGTCCAAACATCTCATTCTTATGGGGACTTAATGCTACTCAACAAAGCATCTGAGTTAAAGCTGGTACTAGATTTTGAACCCGCACATCCGTGCGGGTATTTTTTCATTTTATAAAAATATAACAAAACTTTTCAAATATATATGGTTTATATTCTATTGTTATATATTGTATAATTTTATATTTTTAATTATTTTTATGTAACATATTGTTGTAAGTTTTAAAATAAAAAAATATTTATATATAATTTATTATATAATGTATTTGTTGTGAGTTACAAAAATATACGTTAACATTTTTTGTAAAAAAATGTTCTATGATTTAAAAACTTTAATATGTTTTAAAAGGGAGTGATATTTATTTATTTATTTGAATAAAAGAAATTTTTTTAAAAAAAATATTTTCCTTTTACCAGTTTAATATATTTTATATTCATTTCACATAGCATTTTATTTTAATATAATATAGAATATAACTAAATTATAAAATATAACAATTTTTATTTTAATTAACAGTAATATAGATATTTATATATATATTAATCATGAAATTAAATAATGCATATTTTCTAAAAATATTTAAACTTCTTAGTAAGATCTTGTTAGATATTTTCTCAACAAATTTATTACTAATATCTTATTAATTATTAAAATATTCCTCCAATTATATATATTTGATTGATTAGTATAAATAATCAAATATATCATATTAGTGAAATAGTCCAACATGACTTTTTTGTAGTAGATGTAAATGGTACTTCTCTTTTAATAGAGAAGATGTGCAAGCTCATTTGTGTTTTTTTCTTCTCTTGAATAGCTTCATATGTCTGTTATTATCTATGCCCCCATAATTGAGCCACAAGTCATGTAAACCTTGAAAATAACTTTCCGTGTTAGAAAGCAAATTCATCCGTTTAATGTTCTGTTGCAGGAAAATCCATCAAATTACATGGCTGAAATGGCAAAGGTTGAGTCGGTAAGTTTGTCCTCTAGTGCAACTACAAGTTTGATGCTTCTCATTTACATCAAGGATGTCACATATCTTTTATTGTGTTAACTACACAAATCCATTGATAAATATGTAGAACCTCATTATTTTGATATTGTTTTGTTTACATGCTCCATAAAGGAAAATTATTTCATTATATATGCATGTTTTTGTCTCTCTGGTGATTGTGTTACCTTCTCTTTGTTTCTTCCAGCTATTCCATATAAGAAACTCAGAAGCAGTTCGTTACTTGGAGACATTTTCTCCCATGAATCCGGATTCAAGGTAATAACCTTTGTCCTCTAAGTAACTAGAAAAATGAACATACTTCTATAGTTCTCGTAACCTTAAAAATTCATATTCTTTTTTTAGTGGACGTGTTATGCTACATGACTTTCTTCGGGTTCTTAGACTGAAGCCTTGCACTCTTTCTAAAGAGGTCAGTTATGATCCTTGCCTTCTTTGCGTATCAGTATATGACTATGCTTTTATCATCTGTTATCATCGTTTCTGCCCCGGGAAAGTTACTTACACAAGCATACTGCTGTAGATATTCGAGTTCATTGATGTGGAGAAGGCTGGATCAATCACTTTCAGACAGGTACTTTTAGAGATCCCCTGTAACATAATATTTTATGACTCTATGATCTTCATGGAGGAAAAAACACCCGTTGTAGAAGTTCTTTGTATATAATCCTTTTGATCTCATCCTTCTTCTGCAGTTCTTGTTTGCATCGGCTTACGTATCAACGCAGCCACTTTTTCAGCAAACATGCGAGCTATCATTTTCACATTGTGACGCAGATGGAGATGGCTATATCTCTGTTCTAGAAGTATATTCAATTCTTCACCTCTTTTTGTCATATGACTCATATTTGCTTTTGAGTTCTTATGTTTCACTACTCTTTTTCTTCATCTTTGGCTCAGCTTGGAGACGCGCTGAAACCAACAATCCCAAACTTGAACAAGGACGAGGTAATTAAAAATTAGATTCATTCATCCATAAAGATGTTATAGCTAAACGTTTGAGGCTTTGAGCTTATCTCATGTTTCAGATTCAAGGGATGTACAATTTGCTCGATGACGACAAAGACCAAAGAATCAGCAAGAATGATTTCTTGTCCTGTTTAAGAAGAAACCCTCTGCTCATAGCTATCTATGCGCCTATCTTGGCTCCAACATAACACATAGAGACAAGATCATGACTCTGTCTTGTCATTGTTGTATCATTATATATACCTTTTGTTTCTTCTGATATAGCAAAAAGAAAGGGGCTATAAGTTTTAGGCCTATGCCCTCCTCCATGGTTTCATATCCATCCAATGAGTTTTGGATTATAACTTCGTGCCGTTCTCTACCCCAAAAACGCTATGGTGTTTGCTCCTCTAGTTCTGAGTAAACTCTATCTGTAATTCTGTATTTGTTACCTTCTTTGGGGTTCTACATGTTTTATCAGTATCAGTGGTTATTATATATTTAATTGTTTTATCCTAAGTTTTGATAAGTTATTACTTAGCTTCAATTGGTGACCACCTTTTATGAGAAAAAAAATGATGAATTTGTTATTCCTCAAAATTGATACCATTTAAGTTGATTTTTTTGTCATACTAATTTTTATGGACCCCACCACATTCCTCTATGTTCCTCATAATGAGAAGAATAAGTGAAGGAGTATTTTCCTCTACTGAGATTGATGAGGAACGTTTGTTCCTAAATGTTGAATTTTTTTTTTCATTTCAATTCTGTAAATGAAAATTTGTTCATTTTTTTCTTTTCATTCTGTTCATTTTAATCGTCACCAATTGAAGCCTTAATTTTATAACAATCTGAAATCCTATTAATTATACTCATTGCATAGTGTTGAAAATAAAAAAGCTCAGGTGGGCAAAGCTGACGCAAGCATGGTTTATTTACTTTACAGAAGAATAAACGAATTAAAAAAGACAATGAGAATCAGAAGATGAAACGACAACCGTTGGATGAAACAGATAGAGAAGTGCACAGCACGCTTTGTGGTCCCCTCCACAGATGACGTTAATCACCCTACCCCATGTCCTCGACATGTGTCGGTCTTAACTGGGAAGTGCGAACTCTCTCCCCAATGGCCAATTAGCTTATTTTTATTAACCCTCTTTATCCGACAATTAAATCTTAAATCACATTAATCCACTTTACATTGAATAATCAAAAATAAAGTCACAAAAAGGTCCTACTTGGCTAATAAATAATTTATCTGTTTTATTTTCGAATTTGCTTGATGAGTGGTTTAAATTGTAAATGGATAGAGAGACCATTGGGTTGGAATTAGGGCTCCACATTTTATCCACTAATTTGAATTCAATTCGTTATTCGTTTCGATCCAAAAATTCTAAATATTCGTAAACTTACAAAATAAAACAAATATTAAAAATCAATATCCATTATAATCGTAGCAAATCACAAATATTAAAAATTTGGAAAGCGGATTTCCACTCCAATCCGACATTATATAAATACATATATATCTTGATTATATTTCAAATTTTAAATGTATACAATTATATAATTATTATTCTAACAAATGATTTGATAAATTTGATTCACATTATTACTTCTATAAAAGTATTAAATAAAAAGAAAAGAAAGCAATGATGACAATTATTATATTTATCTTAAGTTTTGTGTTATTATAATTGTTAACTAAGTTTTAAAAAATTACAAAATATGTAGATTCATTACTTCTTTTAATATTTATTTTATATATTATGCAGAAAAATATTTTTCAAAACAAATTCGTAGCGAATTTTTAAGGTTATTTGTATTAATCAATATAAATGAGATATTCGTAAGTGTTCATAAATATCTGCAAATATCTATTTATTTTTATGATATCTATTTTTCCGGATATCCGTATTTTTTCGTAGCAAAACAATCGAAAAATTAGATATCCGTAACATACAAAACAATTCACAAATACCTTAAAAAATCAGATATCCGATCTGTGCCCAACCCTAGTTGGAATGAAAATGATAATCAATACATGTGGAAATGCATTGAGCCTATTGATAGATAATATACCCAAATCATGCGTTTACGAAAAGTTAAGTTACTATTGGGGGGAAAGGTTAAGTTACTATTGGGGTGAAGCTGTTACTAGAGAGAAAATCTTTTGTAAATGAGGAAAAGAATCCATGAGGTAGTTTCTAAACATTGATGTGGTGTTTCTTGATCATTCATAAAATATTTGTGATTATGAAACTCGAAAACTATATATCAAACATGGTGAAGTACAACGAAAAGAAAATTTCATTATGTATCTCATTTTTTTGCTAATTAGGAGATATTTAGGCCATCCTCTAAGTTTGTTAAAAAAAAATACCGGAATAGCCGGCGCTAATAGGACATAGTGTAAAACATGTTTTCTAATGAGTGATTTGTGATGAAAATATAATATGTCATTATATTAGAAAGTAAGATAGGTGATGAATATATTACTTTAATTGTTCTTTCTGTAACTGTGTTCGTTGGTCCAAACAAAATATTAAACGCGCAGGATAAAAATGGTTATTTGCATAACGGGCATCTGTTTGCTCTATGCCTCTATATTGAGTTAGCTGGATTGTGTTTTATAAGTTATGAACATGTGCGAAAGAGAGAAGCTCAAATTCAAAAACATAGGAGTTGCACGTGTGATTATGCGAATTCTTACAAAGTGAGAGGAAAGGCCTGTTCTGTGATATATTTCCTGATCAAATATCAGACAATTGATAAGATGAATTTTGTTGTCATTAATCTTTCTAACTACTCATACCAGTTGTTCTTTGTACCTATAGTAGCGTGGTTACCGTTATTAGTTGATTGAGTCCATATGTAAAATTAATGGTCTTAATTTGAATGGTTTCTACAACCATGTATAATTAAAAAATATGGAATCATAGTTTCACACAAAAAAAAACTAATTAAACATACATTCTATAACTAAATAAAAATCACAAAGACTATGTCGCATTAAAATCATACAATCTACATCTAGCAGACTTACATCTCCACATAACGTAGATCTAAATTACTTCAAAGATATATCATGATCGAGTCATGACTAATTAACTTTTGGACAACCTTTTGTAGTCCAAATTGTCTAGATCAAAAAATTAATATTCATCCTCTTAAGATCCATGAATAACTAATTAAGCTTTGCTTGTTTTGTTTTGTTTGTTTGTTTCCTTTATATAGAAAAACTAAGCTTTGTTTGGAAGATGTGTACATATACATTCAAAAAAATGGTCTTATACGAATATCCAGTTAAGTTTCTCCACCAAATCACCACTAGTGTTTTTTTTTTTTTTGTAATCACCAACCAACCTATATATCTAATATGAACAGTTAATGAAAAAAACATATGGGACTTTCATGGAACCTAATAAAAAAGAAACCAAACTGAAATCACAAGATTGTTAGAAACAGTAGCAAACGAATGGAGTAGGTTTCTGGACAAGATAAGGAATCTGTCCTTTTTCTAGGAGAGCCTAAGATTATCATAATTTCAACACCTAACTAGGTAAACAGATACATAAAAAGAAAGTGAATATAAAGGAACGACAAATAGATTTAACCTAAAAGAGGAAGCAAAGAGGTTAAAAGTGGTAAATAGCCTAGGAGTCTAGGACCATAGAGTATTTGTATATTGCAATTTGTTTGGTGGGTCCTTGTTCAGGACCAAAGTGTGGAGCAAGATTTATCTTTGAAGTTAATAAATGACGAATATATTTTTGTCTCGGGAGATTTCGATTGGAGCATGAGAAAAAGTAGAAGATGTGTTTTCGCATTATCATTGGCTAACCTTTGTACGTAACTGTACGGATGACATTGATGTATTTCTAATATTCTACGCTCTATTTTCTTCATCTTCTTAATGTTTCAGTGATCTGAATTGGTCTGAAAGAAACAAGTGTACCCATGAACTCCAAACACGTGCATAAACTAATGTTAAGAGTCTTAAGATCAACATACATAGATATAGAGTCATACAATTAACTCAAAAATATATATCCAAGAAATCTACTCAGACATGTCGGTAGTATTTAGTAAATATAAGTAGGTTAACATCTTAAGTCACCAGCTAAAAAAGATGCTCTTTTCTCAAAATAAATAGTCTGTGTGCTGGGTCTTATACATATATAAATCATTAGATTCGACTAACCATTTTCTCTCCCGAAAAGGATATTTTTTGGTGCCACTAGCTAGACAAGACGTTCAATGAGCTGATTCATTATTGGTTTTGCAAGTTACGTTTCTTTTATGACTGCAAAAAATTATAGTCGGAGGTACAAAACTTTGCAAATGCATTTGAATAGACACATAGCTACACGCCATTGCCTCATTGTCTTTGTAGTATTTGATTGGTGATATGTTAGGCGATAGTGGAATTGTATTTTGTAATGCGATATTATGGATAAATACCAAACATGTCAAACAATAGAATTGCAATATAGCAAGTTATTAATCACTCAAGTAGAGCTGTAAAATTATAATTATCTGCTATTAACCTTTTTTTGAACAAAATCTGCTATTAACCTAAAACACACATAAGTTCACAAAACATTGGAAAATAAAATAGCAGACTAGAGCTTTATATCAAAAACATTAAAATAAAACAAACTTGGGTTTGATTAATATACTACATATGGTCCATGGACTAGTTAGTGCATAAGAGCATCATGAGTCTTTTGATGAGTTTATCATCAATTAAATAAATAAAAATAGAAAAGTAAAAAAAAATGTTAGAGAGACTATCAATTTTCGATAGTTATCAAATTTGTGATGATTAATATAAAAATATGGTGAGAGAAATTCAATAAATTTTACCTGTTATATTAGAATTAGGTATTGGATATCCTTATTTTCAGATTAATTACATGTAGGGCATAATAAGTACGAGAGAGTCTTTCTGTCCACACTTAAATAAAAAAAAATCTTTATAATCTTATTAAGATATTATATATTAATGAAGGGAAAAGGATGGGGTTTGTAAATATTTCCATATATATCAAACTACGCTATTTTTGGTATTTCTTAAGGCTTTTTTCCAAAATAAGTAAAAGATGAGGTTTCAAGCGACCATCATATATTCGACACATATTACTTTTCGCTATCTTTTTTTTGCAATTATTTTAATATTATTTACTACTTTTCAAAGAAAGAAAAATAAAACGAAAATAAATGTTCCACACCATTACCATAACTACAACGAGAAGAGGATCTTTTTAAGGAGGAAGCAGAGAGAGAAGAGAGGAGTGTGTGTGTTGTCTCTTGTTTCATTTATAACACACAAATAGATGAAACGAGGAAAGCTATTACATCTTTTGTTGCATCCATAAACTTATCTTTCCTTTCGCAGAGAATCAAGTTTTGATCATCTTCTTCTTCTCTTTCTCCCAGCTCCTCCATTCATACTTATAAAGTCTCCTATATCTCTCTATTCATACACAACCGTGCTTCTTAATTTCTACTTCTGTTAATCTTCGTGATTAGGTTTTTCTTATTTAGCAACCCTATTGACCACCGGTTAGATCTCTTCGTCTTCTTCTTTCTTTACTTTTTTGCTTTCTAGTCTTGGATTAGTCTTATGGATCTGCTTTCACTTTGTTGGATTTGATGTTTTGTTTCGGCTAAATCTCATTTTAATTAACCTCAAACACAAAATAAAAATTAAAAGCTGCATCATTCATTCGTTTTTGAGCACAACTTATAGATCAGCTATATAAGTTTATACTTTATATTGATTTGATTTTTGGGTACTTAATCATCTTCATCGCTCGTTGACTTCATCAGTCTCCTCCCACCAAAAGTATATATCAAAAATCAAATCCCAGGAAAAAAAATTCTTATTTCTATCATGCACCTCTTTTTTAATTAAAGGGTTGGTTTATTATGTGTATGCCTAGTCTTGTCATCAAAGTAGTTGCACCATTGATCTCATGTTTTCTGCAGTAAACCCCCTAAAAAAGATTGTACAAATATGTTTTTTTCTGTGTATAAGGAGAAAGAGATGGTGAGGGGAAAAACTCAGATGAAGCGAATAGAGAATGCAACAAGCAGACAAGTCACTTTCTCTAAACGAAGGAATGGTTTGTTGAAGAAAGCCTTTGAGCTCTCAGTGCTTTGTGATGCTGAAGTTTCTCTGATCATCTTCTCTCCTAAGGGAAAACTTTATGAGTTCGCCAGCTCCAAGTACGTTCTCTCTCTTTTTTTCCCTCTTTAATATCATCTACAGAAAAGGAGTGAGAAGAGAAGAAGTTTTATTTATATCCATCCCTTGGTTAATATTTGAATCTTTTGGCTGTTTGTGGAATCACATCTCCCTTTTGATGTTTGCTTAGAGGGAGGGTTAAATGAGTTTCTTGGTTTCTACAATTTTAGGGCTATTACTAAAGTAAACCAAGTACATCATCTTGTTTAATCCTCTGAGATATTCTCTCTCATATTTAGTTTCTGAATTCTGATAAAAGTTAAAATGCCAATAACGCTCTGACAAGTACTTTGCACTTGTTAGATATATATATCTTAGATCTTATTAGAGATCATGATTATGCACAATACGACTCCTTGAGTTTTGTATTAAACTCTTTGGTAGGTTTAATACGAAAATCATGATTATGTTGCAAGTAACATTCTTTTGGTTTGAGATGATACACAATCTGCTTAATATTGTTATTGCTTTTAGAAAAATCACAGATTGTTCTAAGTGATAGTTAGGAACTTGTTTTATCAATCTTGATTGATAAATCAGGCAGGTTTCATTTATGCTCATTCCTTATATAGTGCAGTTTAATTACATGTTTTATTTCTACTGTTTTTCTACCTGACTTTTTTTTTTTTGCATTGAAACTATAAAGCCAGAATCTAAATGTAGATTGTTTTAAGAATGAGAAAGAAGTTATCTTGTAGTGTTAGGTAGAAGGGAAACCAGACTTACTTTTGATGAATTATTACTTCTGTAAATAGAAAAAGTCAGCTTTCTGATCAGATGTCTCAGAAGATTTGTCCATTTGGTAAAGTAATTCTTTCTCTCGACCAACTTAATTAAAAATAAAGAGACTCACATATTTCTGATTTTCTAAAATGTTTGAAAAAAACAAATAATACATGACTTACCGAAGTATGTCGATAAGACTTGTGATTACATCAGCTAAGAAAGGATTTTATGTTCTTATATTGTTTTTTTTTATAGTTCGAGAAAAATTGAGCTGGTTTCTTACAATGTGCTAACTTAATCTCCGATGAGTTATTTTCAATGCTTTCAACAGTATGCAAGATACCGTAGATCGTTATCTGAGACACACCAAGGATCGAGTCAGCAGCAAACCTGTTTCTGAAGAAAATATGCAGGTTAATCATGATCTTACATAACCATTTCTTATAACATATTAGTACAAAATTAAAATGGCTTAATTAAGAGAAAACAATCATTGTCTGTATTTAATATCAATGCCACATATAGTATCTCAATGTCATTTTTTTGAAAAATACTGACATGCAATAACCTTTTGTGATATAACCATCAGCATTTCAAACAAGAAGCAGCAAACATGATGAAGAAAATTGAACAACTTGAAGCTTCCAAACGGTTTGTAATTGTTATCCAATACAGTCACATCATACACTTGTATTACTGTGTATATATATATATATATTTATATATCATGTAGTAAGAGATTAATCGTATTATCAGTAAGTGTTTCTTCTTACTTTAATTAGTAAACTCTTGGGAGAAGGCATAGGATCATGCTCGATTGAGGAGCTGCAGCAAATTGAGCAACAACTGGAGAAGAGTGTCAAATGTGTTCGAGCAAGAAAGGTATTTATATGTGTGTGTGTATTATTCCTCACATTATTGTTCTTATATAAGAAATAATCACTCTAACTTAATTGCTCATCTCTTTCAGACTCAAGTGTTTAAGGAACAAATTGAGCAGCTGAAGCAGAAGGTAAAGAGCATAGTGGTGTAGTGATCCAACCTAATAATCTTCTTCTGCTTTCTTTTTATAATTCGAATAAAAAACTTTGCAGGAGAAAGCTCTAGCTGCAGAAAACGAGAAGCTCGCTGAAAAGGTACAATAAATACTATAAACGAATATCTCATATGGTTCTCAAGTTAGGGTTGCACTTACATATCGTTTTATTTTGTTCGTTTATGATAGTGAAAATCTGGTTCTTATTTTGGGTTACTTGGTTAGGAGACTCCTTATAGTAATTCTTCTTGTTTAATTTTCAGTCACTATATTAGGCATTATAATCCAAAGATCGTCTATGTGTTTAATCTATCTTCTTCGTATCTATTAATTTAGTATGCATAATTATTAATAATTGTTTTATTATTGCAGTGGGGATCTCATGAAATGGAAGTTTGGTCGAATAAGAACCAAGAAAGTGGACGAGGTGACGAGGAGAGTAGCCCAAGTTCTGAAGTTGAGACACAACTGTTCATTGGGTTACCTTGTTCTTCAAGAAAGTGAAGCAACTACGTACTATTCTAAGCCCAACAAAAACAAAACAAAGCAAAAGTTCTATATGTAAAAGCGGGTTAGCAGTGAGTGTATAAGCAAGTAACAAAACTCTAAAGCTGCTTCTCTTGTTGTCTTCTCTCTCTCTCTCTCACTCTCTTCTTCAAAACTGAACTGCATGTGGTATGTATCTATGTTCTTATACACTTGTCTTCTCTAGAATCTAATTATGTTTATTGTTCACTTTTAAGTTATGTTTCTTTGTATATCAATTCAGGCTTTTTCCCTCCAAATCAGGAGTACCTATATATAGCTTACTGGTTAAAGTTAACAAACACAATATAAAAGTGTATTTATCAGTATGTATTTTACTGGATGTAATAACTCTTATTATAGCCATCCCAAGACAGAATATAACCACCCCGAAGATTTGAAGCTTTTATTTTTCCTGAAGCAATTGTGCTGCCAACAGAGAAATGATGAGAAAGTTGATTCAAGCTTAATTTTTCAAATTAAGTAACAGGTATATTCAGAGTCAGTGGTCTCGTGTCATGCATATTCAACTAAACTTTTATCCAGAATTTGTTATAATTTCTGTAATAAATTCCGGGTCTTAATTTATCCATAATATTTCATAAATGATGGGAACCAAGTTAATGTTGTTCAGTCACTCCGCAACATCAAAATTCATTGCGAACTCCTTTAGACGGTTCTTTAGTATGTATACAAGTAGAGGTACAAATACTATCTTTTTTAGAAACACTAGCTACAAATACTATCTAAACAAAAATTATGTTATACTTACTTTTCCTTATTAGTTACTTTACAATAAAAGTCTCATAAATATCAGAATAGGCACATTCATATATGTTATATCGGTGTTTTAATTTAGAGATTGGTTTTATTTGAATTTTTTGCGCAACAAAGATATACAAAGGTTTTATTTGTATATGTTTGTTTGTAACTAATGGAATCAAACTAATACTAGCAAAATCTATTTTCGACATAATTATAATAACACTTGAAAATGTTAACTTTTCATTAAAAGAGAATCATTATCTTTTAATGCGTTCACATTATGTTTGCCACATGGCAGCCTCACAACAATTTGAAAACGAGTACGCTGACGTGTCACGTTCAGAGAATTTCTCGGCCGAATTCTACTTAAATGCGTTCACACTATATACTATTTTACATTTTTTCAATAAAAAACATACATACACGATTTTACGGATTATATAAAATTATATATAGAAAGATAATTTACAATAAATTCACTATTGTTTAAGCTTATTTTAGTTTACTTAATTTAATTTAATACAATATTATGTTTCATGTTTTATTTTGAACAAATATTTAGTTTAATTTTATTTAGGATATTTTTATATATTTATCAACCACATCTATATATTTTTACATACATATACATGTAATAGTGGGCACGAATCGAATATCCAAGATTTTGGAGGTACACGATCCAATATGTTTCGTCTGAATAATCAATTGTCCAATTCGATTCGATTCGTAGCCATCCAAATATACAATGTCCCGAAAAAATTATATTTTAACCGATTTTGATCTATAAAAAATTAAAATAAATAAAAAATCTTAAATAATAAAATTTTGTTACAAAAAAAAAAATTAATTACCTTTTTGAATACTAATACCTAATTTAATAAATTTAGTAAATACAAATATTGTAAAACTTATATAGAATATATAGTTTATACAACTTATGTATACTTCATTAAGTATATGTATATATATAAGCATATAAAAAACCGGATCAAATATCTAGTTTTAAAAATAGTAGTATTTGTGATTTGCTTCATCTTTTACGGATATTATGTATTAGTATTTGTTTTTCTTCGTAGAGTTACGAATATCCAGATTTATTGTTCGAATTGAAAATAATGATGAGTAAAATCAAAATTTACAGATATTTTGTCCAATCCTACATACATGTGCACATTAACGTGAACACCTATATAACTAAATATTCACTACAAATGAGAATTATAATTCTCTTAAAAGCTAATTTTTTTTTAATTATTCCATTCACCATCGACCAAATTACAAAAGAGAATTATAATTCTCTTTTTCTTCAATTATTATCTAGATACTTTTCATGACTTTGAAAATCATAATACGAAACCATTGGTTTGATATTAAGACTGTTTAAAATTCATATAATATGAAAACAAAAAAAATAATAATAGTTTTTTGTTTTCATTAAAAATTCTAAAAACCTCAAACATTTTAACCGAATAATCAGAATAAATATTCATTAAGAATAATTATTATATTTTAATACACTAAAAACCAAACAAACCTAAAACTGAACTGATATCCAGATTAAACGTATGTTACGTGAAAACGGAAACGAGTACGCGGAAGCGGTTGAAAGCGCGGAAACGCAATTTTAGAAATATTTAGGAAACTGATGTGTTGGAAGTGTATATATATATATATATAACACCAAAGCACGTTAATATATTGAACAAAATAGTTTAAATAGGAAAAATTCAGTACAAATTCATATACTATAACTAAAATAAAAATATATATAATTACAAAGAACAAATATAATATAACATGTGTAAATCATATGTATGATTGCTTTGAAATTAATAAAATAAAATACGAGAGTTAATTATTTCATACACACTAATTGATAATACAAATAACATGAAGTAAAACGAATAAGTGAAAAAGCATATTACAATTAGATTATTACTTAGAAACCTGGAGTTGAATAGATTAACGTTTTTAGTATTCAGTTCTATTGTTATTTATGGATTAAGTTTTTTTAAAATAAAGTTAGTTAAATTGAGTTATAAATCAATTAAAATTTGCAAGTCCACAAGAATAATTCCATCTTCTTTACACATCAATTGTACAATCACCGTCAAGCTTTCGATCAGTGACCAACACGCTTCCATCTATAAACTGCGTGTTTCCATCACGCTTCCAAACATCACGGTTCTGAAAACATGATTCAATGACGATTTCATGCGATTCCGAATGTTTCCGTTCTGATTCCGTTTTGGAAATAATTAAGAAACGCACATCTTCTTATCTTAAAAGATAATAAATTAATAATCTCATTCCGTGCAAAGCGCGAATTATTACTTAGTCATTATTTATAAAACTATAAAAATAACATTACCTCTCGAATTTAAAATTTACATTATCTGTAAGGATATACATAGATGAACGAGATATTGCATTCAGCATGTTCTTACAGATCTGGGCCCATAAGGGCCTACTTATAGAAAGGGCTTACATTGCAATAATAGCCCAGTGATAGGACTTGGAAAAGACAGATCAGAGAGGTTTGCCAAACTCAATCATATAACTAGAAAGTAGGCCCCCTCCAAGTATACTACGTGACGTAATATGATTCGTTCCTATTTGGTTACAGCTTACCTTTATGGAATGTCAGATTCAGTTCATATGAAAATGAGTGTTAGTAAGCCCAAACAAATGTTATATTTTTTTGCCAAATATGTGGATTTTCATATAAATATGATAAGGGTTTGTAATGTTAAGTTTGAATCCTATAGGAGAATCAACCGAGGGAAAAACAAATGTTTTAGATCAGGGAGAAAATGTAAACGGGAAGAGAGTGTTTAAAGTACCCCAAACATGCGAATACATTCACATGAAATTGAGCTAAGTACAAGTCTAATTGACAAATATAGCTTTAGAGCTGAAATTGGCGTGACACCAGTGGCCTTGGGATGTAGTCAACAACATGTCAAAGAACCCAACCTTGGACGAAATTGGTCTCACATGCCATGTTACTCTTTGGTACAGAAGAACCTTCGCCTTGCATGTAGTAATATTGTTGGAACCTATTTATATATCCAAAATACCAAAGTAGTCGTATAATTAATTATATATATATATACATAAATTATATCCTTTTCACAAAACGAAGAAAAATGGTACCTACGTACCCTATTTGTAAAAAGGGCTCGGTGTTGCAATCCACTGAACTAGACTGAACCAGGAATTCAGAATTACTGGGATCACCGTTCACTGATGCTACCGTGTTTGGCCATAAGTCTTGAAACGATTTGAAAGCATGGCTTTCGGTCTCAAACTATTGACAAACAATATTATTAAAACGAGATAGTTTAATTTCTAAAAATCATAATTTGAGATCTAGAGTGAAAACCTTAATCTTAAGTTGTTTGTTTATGTCTCCGAGTTGCCTCTCCTGCCATTTAAAAAATAGATTGGTTAATACATGTATAGACATGTATCAGTTTGGTACAAAACAATTATATAACTTGCCTTTTTCCGAAGATCTTCCATTTCTTCCATCATAACTTGTGTCTGCATATATATATAGATGGTTTATTATATATAACATATGATTGAATATGAAACAAGGCCAATCTAGATAATATATAGAGGTATATATACAACCTTGCGTTTTCGAGTGGCAGTAAGAGCGGCTTCCAGCTGCCTCTCCAACCCTTGCAGTTCCTTCACGCTCATTTCTCCAAGATCTTCTCCAAGTAAGCGCCTTGATAATTAGCATGAATATCAACACACATCAACTATTCCGCTATATACATAGTTTATATAACAGAAGATGACGATGATCCCTATATTATTTCAAGGGCTTAGAAATCTATTAACAAACCTATTAGCGCGAACAAGAGATTCGTATTTGGATTTGAGCTTTTTCACCTCCTGATTCCAATTCTGCACCATGTAGAATTATATAATGAAATGCATATAGTAGCACGAGAATTTTGCTTATAAGAGTAGCTAGTTACAAAATAAACAGGTTCATTAATTGTATAAATCGAAAGTACGCATATACACATGCCTGTGTAGACTCCTCAGGCCTATTATTGCGAAGAGAACAGTTGTAGCAACGGTGATACCGTTCAATTGTTCTTTCAACTCTGCAAATTCAGCAGAAAAAAAGATTATTACACACGAGCGATCATTAGCTTAATCATGTATAGAGTTTTTTCTTACAAAAGGAAACCCTAACTTCATATTTTAATCCACATCTGAATTTTGGCATCTTCAAGTTTAAAGAATCCAGATCCAAATAAAAATATCAAACAATAAAGTAGAACGTACGAACGGACCCATTGACTTTTATAAATAATGGATTCACGAGAGAGAGAGACAGAGATGGTATAACGATGAACCCTAATTACCGTAGGATAAAAGACACAATCTTTAAGAATACCCACAAGACAAAAGCTTGATCAGATTCGTACTGTGTATAGCTAGAAATAAAAGAGCCTATTTAATATTTTATAAGAAACCTAACTATATGTGTTTCAAAAAAAAAAAAAAGAAACCTAACTATATTGAATATAAAGAGCTACGAAGGAGCACAAATGTACCCGACACTGCCGAACTCGTAGAGCTTGCCGCGGCTAGAGAAGACGATGAGAGCAACTTCAGCATCACAGAGAACAGAGAGCTCATAAGCTTTCTTCAACAAACCGTTTCTTCTTTTTGAGAAGGTCACTTGTCTATTGATTTTGTTCTCTATCAACTTCATCTCCACTCTCCCTCTTCCCATATTTTCTCTCTCTTTTTCTTGATACTGGGTTCCTCTCTCCTCAAGAATCGCTATGCTAATTCTTTTGTAGATCAAAGAAATATATGTACCGTACACGAAAACGTGTTTTATATATCTGTAACCCTTTTCTAATTTAATATTTTGGTGGTTAGACCCATATGGTGAATAATCTAATATCTGTGTTTTTATTACTGTCCTAAGTATGTGATACCAAATAATGAGGATTTTGTAAAGAAATAGAAAAAAAATAAATAAATAAACAGTCAATTTTTGATGGAACAAAATGATAACTATGTTCTCGTAGTATTAGCTAAATACCTAAGAATGGAACTCTGCTTGTAACAGTCAGACCAGTAAAATTTCCATTAATTTCCCCTTTTAATAATCATTAATTATATTTCTACTTTTTCTTTGCTTTTCAAAGATACTCAAATTCACAGGAATTCATTTTTTCAAATGTTATGGTTCCTGTAAGTGGTCACTAAATGTTTTTTTTTTGCTTAACTGGTTACTAAAAGAATAATATTAGGTGTCTATTCGGGTGAAGCATATTGATTTCTTGCATTTTTATGTCATAACCGCCGTTATAATAAAAAAAAATAATCAGCTTGGACTATTACTAGCTTAGTTATCTAACACATTATATAGATATTTCAAAATTAGATATCTTAAAAGTATATTTTTCTAAGACTACTTTTCAAAAGGTCATTTATTATCTTTTTATTAAAAATGTAAATATACATTTATTTTTAATGTTTATAGAAAAATAAATTACATTTCTATAATATTTATATATACATAATTCATATTCATAATTAAATTACTACACCAATTAATAAATATAAAATAATTTAATACATTTATTAAATATTTTTATCTTATAAAATTAAAAAAAAACATATACAAAATAACTTATATTCCAGTATTTACAACATAGTTCGTTTATTATGAAAAATATTAAATTAAGATGTTTAAAATAATAAATTTATATTTTAGTATACATTTTTAAATTAGAATATTAAAAGATAATTTACTATTTTTGAATTTTAATATAATACTATATTTAGTTAGTATTAATATTATTTGATTGTTTGATTACATAATATAAATATACATATAAATATGTATGATCTATAGTTTCATAAATATATAAATATTTATCAAGTATGAGACGGGTTGAGTGACATATAGTTATTTAGTTTATAATAAAATAAAATTTGAACAATATTTAATTTGTTAAATAAATTCAATTTATAAATAAAGCTTACATATGAATAAAATTAGTATGAGATGATTATATAAATGAATGTTATTATTTTCATAAAGTTATGTTCATATAAATTTTTATTTAATTATCTCTACTCTTAAAAACATTTTTTTATAAAAATACATATGTAAAAATAGTTTTCAGTAAATAATTTTTTGAATAAAATTAAAATTCGCTTTTTGAAAATCCAGATCAAAATCTAGCATTTAGTTAAAATGTAACGAAGTTGTTTACGTATGAAACTAATGCTGATTATTTTTTACCAATTCTAAAATTTAGTTGGTCAAAAAGCGAGCAGAAAATTCATCATTGTTTTTGGAGGTCCTCACATATTTGGTTAAATATAGTAAGATGTTAGGTAAGAGAGTCCTATAAACGAAACTGACGCTCTTGCCACTATAAATTATTTGGAATATTTTTCTATGTGTATATATTGATTAAGTCTTTAATTTGTAGCTGAATGATGATTTTATATTCAAGTTTCTTTTGTTGAAGAACCACCACTTTATAAGTTAATACGTAATTGTCACTTCACTTATTCTCTGCCAATGCAGCTCAACCATTCATATTTTTCTTTATCTCTTAGAAAGATATATCATTTGGAATACAAATGAAAGAGAGATCAGCTCAACAATTAATTATACCCGCTGCCTCAAGCAAAATATCGTATTCCTTTTGGCTAACGAGTTAGAGGAGTGATATGAGCTAAAGTAAAATCAAAGCTCAATGAAAAGTATAAGGGTTCGTTTTTTCAAAAAAAAAAAGTATAAGGGTTCGTTTTAAGCAAAAGAAAAGAAAAAGTATAAGGGTTCGTCACATGTAATCGTATTGATTTGCCAGTCAGTGTGTCAGTCTTTTATAGGAAAAAAATATAATAGAAATTAATATCCTCTTACTTCGTCCGAGGTTCACAATTAAAATATGAAAATCAATGGATCCGTTCACTTACATATGTTTCTGATCTGTTACTAATGTTTATTAACGAATGTTTAAACTATCCTCCATCTGTTAGAAGAACAACATATAAGCTAGCAAGTAAACAGATAATCGTCACACACTTGTAGTGTATGTAGAACAACAAACACTAACCTATTGGTTATTATGTGTATAATATCATGTATTATATATATGTGAGACGATCACATAATAGGGCAGTTTTGTAGAAGTTGTTAGAACATTTTTGTGGAAATGTTTACACAATTAGACACTACGAATGTGAGACACTTTAAGCTTTTAACCTATCATGAGTTTAAGATTGTAACATTATCTATTTAATCATAAAATAATCATGCATTGACATAGCTGACATAACTACTTTCCACTTAATACAGAGTTCTTACACTTATGGCTTATCCACCTCAGCAAAATGAAGGACCCATAACGGCACTAACATATCTTTTTAAGATATCAGAACTTGTTAAAGAAAATGAAAGCTTGTGTCTATGTTTCCAAAGAAAAAATAAAGAACTAGACCGAACACTGACCAAACCATCCTCGTTGTGTCCAATCCAAAAAAAGAAGGAAAAAGTCGTACGTGGATGACATAAAACCAGTACCGGCCATGAGTAGATTCAAGCCCTCAAAAAATACTTTAAAAAATCATTTTTTTTAGAAAAAAATTATTATTATGATATATAAACGTTTTTATAAAAATAGCCAATTTTTAGAAAATTGCTTCTAATTTTTCCCATGTCAGGATTGATACTGCATAAAATCATATATGTTGGGACGAGTTTCATATAGCATGGTAAACAAACTTATAGTAGTCGACTGTTTAGTACGTTGCTTTAGAAAAAGCAAGCCATGTAAATGAACATCATGTAGTAAAATAATTTACAGATCATTTCAATTGCAAACAAAAGCGAATATTGAATAATAATTTATTGATTTATGAAGGGAAAGAGGTTGCTGGTGGTTAGAGGCATGCCAAATTCGGAAAGTGAAGCAAAGAAGATTGGGTAGTATTCATAATTTCATACTTTTCAGTTTATAGTAATATTATTACTTTCACATTGTATTCACCAGTGTTATTTGAACAAAAACTTAATATCTTCACGTTCTCGTGGAACTAGCACTGCAGTTTCATGTGAGTGTAGGGTCATTGCGCCTTATCGTTTTAAATACGACGCTCTCGACAAATCAAAACAATCAATGACTCCATTTTGTTATATTTATATATATACTTTTCTTACAATCTTTACTATAATAAGAACGAAGCAAAACTGTGAACAAGAAATGAAAGAACGAAGCATCAATAATTGGTAAAAACAATATACTTTTATCTGGGATCCTAGGAGAGCACGTGAAGTCACTATTCATCTATGTACTGATATCTCATATCTATGTTTCCTTCATCATGTTAACCTTCTTTTTTTTTTGGACAAACATCGTGTTAACTAACTATCCGATTTTTTGATTAAAAAGAAAACTAACTATCCGATTCATTTAAAAATAAAAACAGAATCAAGAAAAATAAATACAGAAGAAGTGTGTGAACTACACAGTCTACACTACACCTTTATGAAAAATAGATAAAAATATGATCATTTGATTTGATGAATAAAAAAATGAAAAAGGTGAAATTCATTTAAAGAATTAATAAATGAAAGTTAAAAACTGGTTAGTTTATTCCTTATTAAAATTGAAGAAAAAAAAATATTTTTAATAATTTTCTTCATACATGAACAAAAAAAAGTAGAATATGGTATACTTCATATGTCAATAATTTAGCAGAAAATAATAATGTAATTGATATAAAATTAATAATAATTAATTCACAATATATATATTTTTAAAATTCATCACGAATAAAACGTCAAACCACCGTCCTATCGATTTTTAGAACATTGATTTTTTTTTTTGGTCATCTGATGTTATATTGATTTCAAACTGGAAGAGCCAAAGGCAAGTTACAAAGACAGAGCCAAAGGCAAGTTACAAAGACTGTCGTAATGAAACGACACCATAATCTAGAGCCGACGGTTTAAAGACACAACCCTGGAGCCATAAGCCGACGATTGCACCATTACAATCTCGGAGACAAGATCAGACAAGGACACCCTTAAACTAACAAGCAAAGACTAAAGACATAGCTAATGACATAACCGACCAAAGCCTAAACAAACTAGAAAGAAATCAACCTCGCCATAGAGAAAACAAACCGGATCGATAAGTTATGGATAACCGTTGCTGTAGATTGTGTCACATAAGCGCCTCTGCTCCACCGACCCTCCAACACCAACAAAACGTCATTGGACTTGGACAGGGTTACTCTGCACTTTCAACACAAAAGTGCTCCAAAGACTCACTTCAGATCCAACTTAGACTCGCAATTGACCTCTGAAGGAGCTCATCCCGCGCCGTAAGCGCACCGACAACACCACGGCGGAGCCAACCAAACCTTACTTGACACGTTCTTACTCAAACCAGCCGGTAACCATAGATCCATCTCCACGAGCCATAGATCTGACGAGATCTACAGCCATGAAATTCGATTTGAAGCTCTCTGCTTCAATATGAAGAATCAAAGCTTTTGACCAGATCTGATTTCCTCTATAACTAATAAATAAGACTTAAGCATAATTAAAACTAAGACCGAAAAGGAATCCACCTTCTCACAGTACCAATGGCAGGAAGCCATCGACCGGAGAAGGTGGAAAGACGGCGACTTTCTCTTTTTTCTCTCGCTCTCTCTTTCTATGTAGGGGTTTCTGTAGAACATTGATCAAAACATGGTTTCTATTTTAGTTAAGAATAAAAACTGAAGTGATCAATAACTCAACTCATACTATACAAAGCCCCTTGTCAAAGAAACAACAAAAATGGGCCCAATAAGTACATACAAATAGCCCATTAAAATAAACAAGTATGGGCCCTAAAGCAATCACTCTCAGCGACATAACTACTACACCTTCGTCGCCGATCTTCGAGAGCGAAAAAGAGAGATGGCTGAAACAGCGAGAAGACAAGGCGGCGGGAGGCCATTGCCGCCTCCTCCGAGAGGCCTTAACCAACCTCCTCGTCTTAAACCCGAACCTGTCGATCGCGAGAAGGTTCGTACTCGATTTATAAGCTTGTATCGGTAGAAAGTCTTGTAGTCTTTGTTTCTAGGGTTTCGATTTGAACTCATTGATTCCTATTTTTTTTTCCGAATCGCAGACATGTCCCTTGCTTCTTCGTGTTTTCACAAAGGTACGTCTTTTCTTTAAGTTAATTGTTAGTGTTGAGTTGTACTTCAAAATTAGGGTTTAATTGGGAGTTTTTTTGGGCAGAGTGGTGGGCATCATAGTAAGGAAGATTATGCTGTGAGAGGGAAAGAACCAAAGGATGAAGTTCAGATTTACACTTGGAAAGATGCTAATCTTCGTGAGTTAACTGATTTGGTATGTGTTATTTTTTTCACAAAGGATGTGCCTTTCTCTTGTTGTGTCTTTAACAAGAATAGAGAGTGTGAAAATTTCTTTATTGGTTTCAGGTTAAAGAAGTGTCTGTAGCAGCTAGGAGAAGAGATGCGAGGTTGTCTTTTGCGTTTGTTTATCCAGACAAGAATGGCCGTTTCATTGTCAGACAGGTATAGTTACCTTTTTTTTTCTCTTCACATTCTTGATAAGATAGGATATAACCACTACATGATTGTTGATGCGTTTAGAACTTAGAATCTTTATATTGAACATGTGTTTTGTTATACTTTTGAAGCATGCTCAGATCATATAGTAGCATCAACTAGTTCTTCTCATGCTTACGATTTGAGAGTTTTGAGAAAAAACAGAACATCATAAATAAGAATGTATTAGTTTGAGTTTTGGAAGGGGTGCTTTCAGATTTCAGCTGTTATCATTTTACTTGTTCTTTGTTATGTTTGCTATAAACCCATGGGAAGTTACTGATCCTGTGATTGTTGATTGATAAAAAGGTTGGTCAGACGATGTCTTATCCAAACCGAAAGCAACCAGACGACAGTAAAACACTCGCTGACCTTCATTTCGAGGTAAAGAGTTAAAAACACACACATATAAGATAATGGGTAATCTTTATAATCAAAATAGTTTGCCGATATAACTGCAATTAATCATCGTTTTCCAGATTGGAGATTATCTGGATGTAGCAATCTACTAGGAGGAGGTTTCTGTTTCTCGTCAAGTGAGATTTAGGTGTGTGTGTGTGTGGACAAGGGAAAGAACTCATTCATGGTTGTTCCTATTTCAAAACTTCATTCAGACAACATTTTATGTCTAATAATGATTTTACTCAGTTTAAATGGAGATTTGACCAATATAAAAGATGATGTTTTGTCTGAATGGGTAACCAAATGTTGGGTTACATGAAACAGAGACTATAAAAGTGGAAATATAAAAGATGATATTGTCTGAATGGGTAACCAAATGTTGGGTTACATGAAACAGAGACTATAAAAGTGGAATTCAAGTGCTTGTCCTTGGGATTGCATTGAGATGGAGTCCTCCTTCAATGTGAAGCGTAAGCATTCTCTTGTAACGCACGTCACTCTTCCCATCAGCCATTTTGAAGCGAAAGAAGTGAAGAAGTACCATTGATACTATCTTCATTTGCCTGTATGCGAAATCCTTGCCAAGACAGATTCTTGGACCACCCTACGTAGAGAGTCAAATAAAGAAAAACATGTTAGAAGAAAATGTATATACTCTTTTAACTAAACATAGATAGCTTGTCTGCGAGAGAGTGTGCAAACATGAAAGCTTATGAATTTGAAGGGTGATTCTGGTTGGAACACGCCATCCTTAAGCCATCTCTCTGGCTTGAACTCCTCAGCATCTTCTCCCCAAATATAAGTCATCCTTCCCATTGCATAGGCCATGTAGTAGACATTATCCCCTTTCTTCACTCTATGTCCATCTGCAAGTATGTCATCATTTTCTGCACACCTCATGTTCTTTGAAAGGCACCCCAAAAATAAAAAAAGTTAAACCCTCATTAGTTTGGTTTCTTTAGCTCATATAACATGTTCAATCACGGAAAAAATCTATAAAGGGATGGTCATTTTACCACAGGCACAATAGGGTAAAGCCTCAAGGTCTCAGACAAGGTTGCATGGAGATATTGCATCTGATTAAGAGCCTCTTCACTTATACTTTGAGCAAAACCATTTACATCGGTTGTCCTCTCGTCACTTGATGTAACGTCTCTGATCTCTTGTACGATTCTCTCCTGAACAAATGGGTGTTTGCAGAGCATGTACAAGAACCAAGAGAGTGATGCAGCGGCTGTGTCCTTCCCAGCAACCATAAAGTTCAAGATTATATCTCTCAGGTACTTATCATTCATCTTCTCCCGATCTTTCTCACTCTCCAATAGAAATCTCGATAGTATATCCTCTCTAACAGCCTAAGGACAAGCCAAAAGTTATAAGAATCCAATCAAAAAGAGAGTGTAAAATTTTTAAGAGAGAACTCACAGTGTTCTGTTCCTTGGCAAGCTCTTCTCTTTTATTTGTAATGAGTCTGTAGACAAACTTGTCTATAGTATCAACACTCTTCTTGAGTCTTGATTGTGATCCGATTTTGAGAAACCATTTCAGCTTCCAGAAAGGATCGATGTATCTAAAACTAGTTGCAACGTTACCTTCATCAAAAGCCTCCATGAACTCTTCCCCTTCTTTGCTAGACTCATCCAAACAATTTAACTCCACACCAAACCCAACTTTAAAAATAGACTCCAGTGCATATCTCATCAACATATCCTAATATATATATATAAAAAAATAATAATAACCCTTTAGAGTTTCATTAAATAAAACATTGCAAGTTCCCATATTTAGACTTACCTGAGCATCAAAAGACTTTCCAGAGAGAGCAAACTCAGAGACAAAACCAACAAGCTTACATGCATTCCTCTTAAAAACAGAGCAGCTAAAATCTCTTAAAACTCTAGTAGAGAACTCAAAGCTCGCAAGCTTCCTCTGGTGTTTCCACTTCTCTCCATCAACAGTGAAGATCCCATGTCCCAAAAGATCACCAAGATTCTCACGACTGTTTTCTCCTTTGCTGTAGTTGTCGAATCTTGTCTTGAGAATATGCTCCACGTTGCGAGGATCAGCAGTGAATATCTCGCTCTTTCCTGGACTCAAGAACCTGTAAGTGGGCTTCTTCCTTGCGATCTCTGTCTGGTAATCATACATCTCGTCGCTGTGGGAGAAAAGGTCAAAGATCGTCGCGTGGACAGGAGAGTACTCCTTGTTGTGTATGGACTTTCCGGTGAAGATTCTGATCGTTAGATAGGCTGAGAAAGACAGGAGGATGAAGATCGTGGCTGCTACGGCGATGGCTGTGGTCGCTAAAATCTCCTCCATTATTTTCTCTACTTGGCAGACTTTTCTTTCTTTGGCTTCTTATTTGAAACTTGTCCCTGTGACGTCGATTTCAAGAGGTAGACAGATTTAACCGTTGGCGCGAAGATGATGAACTTATTGGGCCTAAAATAAGGCCCGTTATGCAAGTGTGGGCCTTTCGAAACAGACTCGAGTCCTCTTTCCCACCTAGAGAGTTACTTAGAAATCTTCCCCTATTATTGTGATTAGGCATGGCTATTTGGTTCGGTTTCAGGCAGGAACCATTCGGTTCAGGATATATCGAATAAATCATTCATATGCATAATAGGTATTTATGAGATTTCGGTTCGGTTCCGAAAACCCATTTAATATGTAAATCAAATATATATGTACAAAATATATTAGTTAATATGTCAAAATTTAAATGGTATAGTGTTTACACACTTATATATTCGTAAATCCAACAAGAGTTCGAGTCAATAAAATGTAAATTTTATGAATATTTACTGTATTTTAATATAGAAATATCATATATATTTATAATATAAGAGAGTAAATAAAAGATGATGTGGTCTAGTGGTAACAATGTTCCCACTCTTCTTGTCTAACAATGTCATTTTACTTTATATTAAAAAGTCCAGACTTTTTTTTTCCGGCTATTCGGATACCCGTTCGATTGTCGATTCGGTTTTGGTTCCGATTCAGTTTTTTAAATACATAAATATAGAAATTATTCGGATATTTAAGGATTTCGATCCGGTTTCGATTTCGGATATTTTGATTCTGATTTTTGTCCAGAGCTAATTGTGATGATGGTCAGTAGCGAGAGGCTGGCACATTTGTAACCGAAAACGAAATCTGAATCCATATTCTATCTGGAAAGTAAAACAAGAATGGATCATGTAACATATTCATGAACTTACACTCTTTCCAAATCATTTTTTTTTTCATTTACTGACCCTAGAAGTTAGATGTGTTATTAAGGCATGTCAAATGGTAGATGCAACATGGAGAGTTGTTTACATGATGGAAATGGGAAGCTAGTTGAGTTTATTAAAGAGATACTAGCTTTTGGGTGCGGATGTATTTTTTAGAAATCAATAATTTATATCAATATTTAATAATATAGATATATAAATTTTACCATATTAGATAGGCTGAGAAAGACAGGACGATGAAGGTCGTAGCTGATGGGGCGACGGCTGTGGTCGCTAAAATCTCCTCCATTCTTTTCTTACTTGGCAGACTTTTCTTTCTTTGGCTTCTTCTTTCAAACTTGTCTTTGCGAAGTCGATGTCAAGAGGTAGACAGATTTCACCGTGGCGCGAAGAAGAATGAACTTATTGGGCCTAAAATAAGGTCCGTTATGAAAGTGGGCTTTTTGAAACGACCTCGAGTCCTCTTTCCGACCTAGAGAGTTACTTAAAAAATTTGAATCCATATTCTATCTGGAACGTAAAGAAGAATGGATCATGTAACATATTCATGAACTCACTCTCTTTCCAAATCATTTTTCACATGTACTTAACTTTCTAGAGAGAGCAAACTCAGAGACAAACCCAACAAGTTTACATGCATTTGTCCTAAAAACAGAGCAGCTAAAATCTCTTAAAACTCTAGTAGAGAACTCAAAGCTTGCAAGCTTCCTCTGCTGTTTCCACTTCTCTCCATCAACAGCGAAGATACCATGTCCTAAAAGTTCCGCAAGATTCTCACGACTGCTCTCTCTCCTTTACTGTTGTTATCGAATCTTGTCTTGAGAATATGCTCCACGTTGTGAGGATCTGCAGTGAATATATCGCTCTGTCCTGGACTCAAGAACCTGAACGTAGGCTTCTTCCTCGCGAGCGTCGCTGTGGAAATTGGAATAAGAGGTCAAAGACCGTGGCGTGTATTGGAGAGTACTCCTTGTTGTGTATGGATTTTCCGGTGATGATTCTGATCGCTAGATAGATTGAGAAAGACAGAACGATGAAGATTGTGGCTGCTGTTACGATGTCTATGGTCGCCAAAATCTCCTCCATAGCTTTCTTACTTGGCTTCTTGTTTCAATCTTTTGCCGTTAGACGTCGACTTCAAAAGGTAAACAGATTTCACCGCGAAAAAAGATGAACTTATTGGGCCTAGTTAAGGCCCATTATGAAAATATCCGCCTCGTGAAATGAACTCGAACCCTCTTTCCCGCCTAGAGGGTTAAAGACTTTCCATATGATGGTGATCATGATTAGTACTAGTAGCTAGAGGCCGGTGCATTTGTAGCTAGAAACAAAATCGGAACCGAAACATCTGAGTACATAACTATCTGAAATGTACAAAAATAATCATGTAACACATTCATGAACTTAAAAACTCTTTCCAAATCATTATTCATTTACAAACACCCTAGAAGTAAGATGTGTTATTAGGGCATGGCAATTGGTACAATTGTAACATGGGAGTTCTAAATTACATAAAAGTGCGAAGGTAAATGAGTTTATTAAAGAGATATTTTAACATATTTGAAAGTTTTCGGATGTCTACTTCAGGAAAAAGCATATCCATAATGTGATGCAATGATAGCAACGATAGAATGAAGGGCAAAGGAGAGGGATAAGCTAGAGATGGTGGCTAACAAAGAGAGCGGAAAGAGTAAGTCATAGGAATAATCAATGTATAATCTGAAAATAAGAAGAGAGGTTTCTGATGGTGAGAAGGGGAGGAGAATCTCCTTTTAACAACAATTTCATCACTATGAAAGCAGTAACAATTTCAGAACTCTTACGTACCCTCTCCTAATTCTGGTAAGATTTTTGACAATTGATTATCACTATTTTCTTTAGATTTAGTGGTAAATTTATCTTAGGTAGTTAGGTTTGATCGATTTTTTATTTATTGGATACTTAAAATGATGACTATGTATGAATTATAGTAGAGATATTATAACAGATTTTGAACACTTTTAAGAGAAGGGTGGATGGATGGGCTTTCATTTCGGTGTTGACTATCTCCTTTGCATTTTTGGGTTTCAAGTGAAATATCAATACAATAAAAAAAATATCAATACAAAAAATGAGTATATCTTTAATACAGTGGTCCTAGTCCTTGGCCCTAATCAATTTATTCTAAAATTCTTGTTTGTTTTTTTCTTCATGTACATCATCAATACAGTTAACGAGATGATACATGTAATGAGTAGAGTTTTTTTGTCAATGTGTAGTAGCTTGATATAGTTTTATTGGATAGTCATGAAATTTAGATATATATATATATATATATATATATATATCTTTAATAATAAATAATATTCACATGATCACTATTTTGTTCTTTACTTGTGTTTCTTTTTACTTTTATTTTTACTGGGGGTCAAGAGAAATTAATTTCCAGCAATGTGTAGTAGAACGTTGGCAAAAAATAATTATTATAGTTTGTAAAAAATGAGTATTGATTGGGCCATGGGAAGAGGCGGACTTATGAGCATGTGGAATATGGGTTTGAACACTGAAGAGGAAATAGCCAACAAAATTCAATATGCAAAATGATGATGATGGTTGATGAATCTATCGTAGTCATCGACAGTGGGGACTGGTGAATGGGGTTATTATATGGCAAATGGGTATGATGATTATGGGAGGAAGAAGCCAAATCGGTGGTTTCAGTTTCCTAAAGTAAATGTGCTTTGGCTTTTGCTTCTATTCCTACTCGAGTACTCCATGACTTTTTCCACTACAACAGATGTAAATGTATGTGTATATTATTGTATATGTGCTAAATTTAAAGTCACTGAACCAGGTTGGGTAGCATCGATTTCACACTTTTTCCTCTTCCTTCCAAGTTTAAGAACCATCCCTTAAACCCAAGCTCGCTACCTCATGTGACCCATCGTTAGCCTAGCCATGACCCCCTCCAGTACCGGTCCTGACATGAGGAAGATCAAAAGCGATTTTCTGAAAATTGACCACTTTTATAAGAACATTTGTATACCATAACAATAATTCTTTTTAATTTAAGGTTAATGTTTTGAAGTATTTGTTGAAGGTTAGAAGTTGTTGCTTGTAGTGTATCCTCTTAGGGCCGGCAATGACTCCCTTGACACAGAAAGTCAGTTGATTAGGATTTTGATTCAAAATTACTCATTTGATTAATGGGATGGACAAGAAACACACTAGAGTGTTGATTAATATTCCAAATGCAAGACAAGGAACCATATTGACAGTATGTAGATAAGTACACAATATTGCTTAGCAACACATGTCATAAGCAACTTTTTATCATTTTAAAAGTAATTAACACAACGTGCTTATTAGTCAAGAATCTTAATATTCTACATACAACCTGAATATTGGACGGGGAACGACGACAACAAAGTTAACTTTAGAACGTAAGTCATTTGTTGTGTGTATTTAACGGAATGATACCATCATTAGATAAGACTTTCAATGAGTTGAAAATTCTGGATTACACTCTCTCTACCTTGGAGGCTCGGGTACGTAATCTTATACTTTCGTGAAAAAACGTAAAATCAAGATTAGGTTTCATACAAAAGTCATATTATATACAAAACACAAAGAAAAAAGGACAAAGGCTTGATGTTTTAAAAGTTAATAAGAGGAAACAATTGTACGTGTGATGAAGATCGAGGTTTTGACGTACTCTTAGCCTTTTGACTTCTTTTTGGCTCCCAAGTCCCAACTAATCATGACTTAACCTTTTTCAAGTCAAATAAACCTGCCAAATCGCTTCATAAAACTCAAGACGATTCTTACAAATTATAAATAAACAAATTAGTCTTGTGCAAAATTGAAGATTAATCTCACATAAACAAGCAGATTTTAGTCACAGAAGTAAAAATAAAAGGATGTGTGGGTAAAGGTGAGCCATGCATGAATTCATTTGGTTGAGCACGAGACGAGCCTATTTAGTTTCCGAATTTGGGTTACAACTTACAAGTAAAAATTAGTTAATTGTAGCAAAAAAAAAAACCGTTAGGTCAAAGATCCATAGATACCCTTTATACATCTAAAAAGCTTGTACTACTGCTTTATTAGGTCAGAATGTATTGTAAATATACTTGAAAAGAATAGTTGTTGATGTATGAATTGCTGTTACAAAGATTTGACTAACTGTCACATTAACCATCAAAACCATGTGATTTAGTTGACAAACAAACAAAACGATCATAAGTTATAATAAAAATTGAATAGTTTGTTTCTTCTTGTGTACCTCTTTAACGGTGAGTCCGAGCTTTTTAGGGAAACTTCCTAAATCCTAAATTATAAGACTGTTTTTGTTGTACTTGTTCTTCTTCATTCAATCTTCAAACAAATTCATCTTCTTCTTCTCCCTGATAACCACTTTCCCTGTCCCTTTGTAATCATGATTTTTCTTTTGCCATCATTACCTTCTAAAGGAGCCTCTCTCTTTCGTCTCTCACTCTCTTAAGAAAATGCAAAACTTACAACAATTTTTTCATCTATATAACACCTCTATTTACCCACTAATCAAACACGTCTCACTTCTTTTATCTCTCTCCCTTCTTCCTCTCTCAATAATCTCCAAAGATGTGTTTGAGCTCTTCAGAACCATTCTCACACACACCCACGAGATTAGTTTTGTACCTCAAAACACATACCCACGTTCGTATCCCTCGCCTCTCAAGGTTTTAACCTCACAAACCTCTCTGAAACTATCTATAATCGACTCTTTAATTACGTTCTGAGTTACTATAACGTTTTAATCTCTGTTTTTTGTTCTTTTGTTAATTTTTTCAGGAGGAGAAGGATGTGGCGGGAAGAAAAGGAGATGGAGATGAACAATATAAGGCTTTACATGGAGAATCAACGCATCATACAGGAGAACGAGAAACTTAAGACGAAAGCTCTTCTTCTTCACCAAGAAAACAAAGCTCTCTTCTCTCTCCTTCAGACCAAAACAAGCTTCCATGTTCCTTAAAAACCTTACCATCACTAAGATCATAATCATAGTCTTTTACTTCTTTAGTGATTTAATAATAAATATCTAAATAGCTCTAATTATCTAAGTGGTCTTATAATTTACAATCAAGGGTTTAGTATTACTTGGTATACTTCTAATTTTTTTTCTTCCCATTTAGCGTGTAATAATCTCTGTATGTGTGTTCTTTTGTTTAATGGTTAATCTGTCTTATTAAAAACCAAAATATTAATCTGAATCGACGAGAAATTTATATAGGTGGCACGAACATTTCACGTGACGTGGGTACCCCCTCAAGTAACGACTTAAACAATCACCGGTAAATATTAAATAGGATTAGGAGTATCCAACATAGTTAATGATTTTCACATGGCCATGCCGTGACCGTTCCAAGATGGCAAAGCCACGCCGTTTCTACCAACAGAATCAACCATACGCTCCGTTTGATATATGACTAAACATATATGGACAGATTACATAAATAAAATTACCAATAAGGTTCTGTTCTGCACTAAGTGCAACCACTTACAGATTTGAAATAAGTCAGACAGCCACCTTTCTCATTCTCACATGCTGAACAGAGGTATGAATACATGGAAAGACAAACTGTTAATGTCAACGATATGCATTCATAAAAAACTACGTATAGATAAATGTAATAGTACAAGTTTTGTAATGTTTATGCTTCATTCTTACAATATGATAATTTAAAAAAACATACCTCTATAATTTTATATATAATTTATTATATATTTAAAAGAAATTATATTAATAGTATCAGATTCTTAGAAAATAAGATATTTTTATGTATTATATTGTTGTCTTGAAAATATATTTTTGTATTATAAAATTAAAATTATGATATAAAAAGTTGTAGTTATTCTTGTGTATTATGTTGTTATCTTGAAAATATAATTTTATATTATATAATTTAAAAGTAAAATATAAAAATTATCTATTATTAGTTAAATATAAATTATCACTCAAGAAAAATTATTTAAGAAGTGAATTTGCTGATTTATTAAGTTCTCCATGATTTTAGGTAATTTCAATTATATGTCATAATTTTTATAATCTTATATAATTTAAAAAATTATCATATTATATTTTTAGAAAATAAATAACTTATGCATTATATTTTTATCTTTAAAATATGTTTACTATTATAAAATTAAAATTAAGATATAAAATTACAGTTTAATATAAATTAAATAAAAAATTGTATAAATATTATAATTAAATATAAATCAAGCAAAATAATTATAGAAATATATTCTTTTAAATATTTCTGAAGTTTTAGTTTTGTCATTAATAATTATTTGATGTTTGATTTTTACTTTTTGAACACATAAATAATAACTTTTTATGCTGATTTTTAACTTAATGAAACATCAACTTTTTTTTTGGTCAAGAAAACATGCATTACTTAAAGGAGCCTAGCCCCCTGGAACATAGTTTGTTACATTTCCAGCAAGAGCTGATTTTGCCACCAAATCAGTATCGGAATTGAAATTGCGAGAAATAAATTGAAAGGAAATAAAATGAAACATCAACTAATAAATATTTATAAGAGAATTATGTTCGCAAGTGCGGGCAAAACACCTAGTATACTAAGTTTTAGATATTTTGACATGCATTACTTAAATTTATATGTTATATGTTATTTTTATTTTTAGACTTTTGGAAACTAAAGTACATTTGAATTTTAAATTTTTTAAAATAACTTAAATGGGTTATGTGAACGAATTTACGCCGTAAAGATCCGAATCGAAATTTTTAAATATCCGAGTGGGGATGGAATTTTTAGCCTCAAAAATCCAAAATCCGAATGGGTATCTGAGTGCCTATGGGGATAATAACTACCTGAAAACCCTTTTAATTTGTTCTTGTGGCCCAACAAAACAAGTATGTAGTTTGTGTCTTCTCGACTCAAAAAAATAGACATAATCTTTGAATTCTTCTCTGATGTCTACTTTGCACGCTTCTAAAGAGATGCTAAACCCTTCGGATGTTGTATCGTGACAACTGTTGTGGTGAAGAATCCAAGTTGATGTATTCCAAGAGAGATCAAAGGTTCAAAAGGAAGATATGAACACACAACAAAACATTGGTGATACATTCATATTTATGCCATAAGTTTTGTTTTAAAAGTGTTTAGTTATACCTGATGCGAAAACTTTGAAGAGCACACACTTAACGCATATGTAGCAAACCTTCATTATGAAATTGATTTTAACCTAACGTGGAAGTCAAGTCTCACGCCACACAATCAGATTAAACCGCAATGATTCGCCGGAGAGCCTCCTCCAAATATTAACATTCGTCAACGTTCATTGGAGCCAACAAACAAAAGGAAAAGAGATTGAAACTCGCGAGAGCAATCGATCATTACACAAAAGTCAGGAAAGATTTAAGAAAGCTGTTGCTTAGTGAAGATATGTCAGGAAGTGGGAAACGAGTTTGTACAGCTGTAATTGTCTCTTCTAACGCCATACAATTTCTAATGGATATGTTGCAAGCGACGGTGTTTGGACACAGTTTGAGATTACAACCCATCGAGTACAAAGAAGAAAGATGGATCTCTATGGAAACAAGAGAGATTTAACTGTTTTATGTCTATATGTGATTACACTGTTGAAGTTAATTATTCCAAGATCAGTTGGTACTAACGTTGAGGTAACTTATACAATTCCCAACTATCTTACTTGTGGCTCACTCAATCGAAACGTTAATTGTTTGATCTTGTTATTGTTCCAATTTCCAGATAAAAGAAACAAAAACTAAGATCTGATGTTCTCATGAATCTTCCTGCTTTGATAAAACTCGATAACATGCTAATGGTAAGTCCAATACTGTAATCAAGATTCAAGAGTCTCAACAGAGGATCCAGCTTCAAGTGGTACTGAGAGAAGTACAAAACCCTTTATTTTCCTAACAATATTATTGAAGGTGGTTCTTGTTATCTCACTTATGGATTTATAATTATTTTAACAATTTGCAACATAACCAGATTGACCATCTCTTTAACCAATGATTAATCCTTGTCAAAATGGTTGACCATCTTTTTAAAAAGGTGGTTCTTGTTCTCGAGAACATCTCTTCCTAGTATTATGAGTCTTCTCTATCTGCTTCTCTCTTTTTATAATAATTTTTAAAAAAAATCTAGGTGGAGAAATTATATAGAGCCATTGAAGAACACAAATGGATGATGATCCAAAGATTCTACTACAGGATAGATTGGGGATAACACTACCAAGTTGGTAACTAAGAAGACACGTCTTCTACAGATTTTGTTTTTAGTTGTTCCATAACATTAACAACTTAATGGAGGAAGCCAGTGAGGAACCCAGAGACGAACCATAAAACCTGGGCCACTAGGTGAAACAGGAGTAGTAGGCTTGGGTTTGAAGGAACGTGGGATTCTAGTGGCGATATCGTAAACACCATAGCCTTCACCAAAGCCTTCACCGACGAAATAGATGGAGTTAGGGTTTAAGCCCGGGAATAAGCTGGCCTTGACACAAAAAGGCTCGTTATCTCCGAGGAACATGCAGAGATCACCAATGTCTTCAGTGTAACACATGTTCATATCTTCCTCCTCTCTAAACACCATGAACCACTTTGTGCCACCACAGTTGAATCTTAATGACTTGATGCCTTGGACATACCTGCCCAAGCCAAACCAAAATAACATTTAGGAGATTTTTTGTTGTTTTACAATATAATAAGATGTTTTTCAGTTACAAAAAAAGAGAGAGATGTTTTTACATATATAATCTAAGTAATTTTTAACCTTATCAAAAATTATTTAGCTAATTATGTTTGTCCTATTTTTTATTTATAATTAAATTATAAATTCAATGATTTTCTTAGAAATTTCTTTTTTCTTAGTATGTGCGCTAAAGAAAATAGCATATATATTATGGATCTTATAATAATAATAATAGCATGTAATCGCAAAAAGCAAATAAACAAGTAGAACCTCGTACCATTTCACTAGCTAGGAATCGTTGTCCTGAGGGAGACTCGACAAGGTGTTGTGTCCTATGACAAGAATCTAAAATCTGCAACTCGGAATGAGAAAACTGAGGAAGGTTGTGAAACCGCAACCCATGGAACTCAGGCTCCGTTGATTCGTGACCATCCCAAGACTACAATTGGTGGCCACCAGAACTTACCATGTAGAACCTTTGATCTCTCTTGGAATACATCAACTTGGATGCTTCAAAATGATCGAATAATAGTGATGGTGACAGTGAAGAATGAATCAGAAAGAAGCTTAAGCCACATTTGGAACAAATTTAAAGTTATGATTGGTGTAAAACTTTTTTGGAGATAATTTGTTTGGGTGTTGGATTGTAGGTTTTAATGTTTTAAACTTATATACCCATATACTTAGGGTGGGAGGGTGGTTTCAAACCTTGTAGAGTAGATTTAAGACCAAAATCCTTGCCACAAGAAATAGTCATGTCTCTCCTCACACACTCCTTTTGTCCTCTGTTCCCAGAAACATGTTTCTCCTTTTTATCGGAAATATTGTGAACAAATTTGTAGACAAGATTCTTTACTAGGCACCAATTACTTTATTTACCCTTAATTGAATACCCCACTACTGTTTCTACCAGTACCAACCATATCAATGTTATAATTTTACTTAATTAACTTATAGAAAAAAAGATAACATATAGTACAAATGTAAACCAGATTATCATCCAGCCAAGATATGTATGTATAATAAAATATACGTAAAAGTCTTTTGACAAATGAAAATGAACAAAAATATATATATTGAGATGGAACTTGTACACAGTATAGTTAATACAAAATATTTTGCATTTAAGTCAAATAATATAGTTAATAAAGTAATGTTATGATTGAAAATAATTCTAAGATGAAATTTTGGTTCATTGATTGCATGATTTTTTATTACTATTTAGAGATAAATATTTGGAAAAAATAAGTAAAAAAATAGTAAAACATTAGAAAAAATAATAAAATGAAATAATAACGAGAAAAAATAAAAAAGAATCCAAAGAATATGCATAATATGTGTTGAAAAAGTTAATGTGATAATTACATATACAATTCCACAAGCATTTGTTATTACTACATATTCATCTGTTATTTTTACATCAAATTTATGGAAACTTTACGACTGATTGTTAAACTATTTGAAGTTAAAAAAATTATGACCTGGTTATTATTCAAAATTTATGACATTGCATACATAATATATATTTTCATATCATATTAATATCCGCGAATTCGTGGGCAACCACCTAGTTATATTTACTTGTTCTGTTCTACCATATGTATTGTATTGGTACCTATTATTTAGATTATGTTTTTTCTTTGTAATTTGTTTTAATTATAGAGTTATCTTCATGAATAATGTATTACTTTTTTGTATTCTATTATCTGAAAAATAAAATTTAATAGCATTTTGCATTATCTGATTATATATTTATATTATGATAAAAACTACAGTTAGAAGGCACCATATTGATGATGCGCTTTAGGCACTAAGGATGTCCGAACCGGCACTGCCACCAATGAGCTCTGATATCAATTCAACGGCATGCATTATTTACGTTCTTTACTTCAAATAAACCAGACACTAAAGTTGCACCATTTCAAAAGATTCTCCTACAATTAAACATAATTATCTTCTTATTAAATGTTTCTCTTCCTTTCTTCCTATAAAATAGACATAATTTTCATCAGACCAAACCACGAACAAGAAAGATAACACAAAGAAGCAAAAACAGAGAAGAGAAAATGAATCCAGTGCGTAATTTTTTGGTCAGTCATGTTAAACGCGGATACAAGTGCAGTGAAGGAAGCAAAACCTAATGGGAGAGTGGTGATTTAGCGGATAGATAGGTTGAACGGTCGATCAAAGAAATTTAGGGGTCTTAGATAGATGTTCTTGGATCAATAAAGAGTTTCTTTCAATAGCTTCTTGAGACTAACTTCCTGAATAAAGTGAATTTAATCAAATCTTGTTGAAGTCTTCTCAAAATAGATGAACTGGATCAAATATGTATCAAGATATAGCAAAAGCTAGTTTATTAATTATCAAAGTCCAAATAAAACCATATGCCTAAGAGACTATTTATATGAAACATAAAAGCTATAAAAATCCTAATCCTAATTAAAATAGGAAAACTATTAAAATAAAGATAATACAAATAAATGGTAATTATCCTAATTTTATGCTGCATCAGGTCTAGTCGGCCAAGAAAGATTCATCCTCGCATCTTCAGTCGCGTTCTTGTCACCAAAATATAATTTTGCATGAATTTTGCATGTTGCTTCCAGAAACTTGATTCTGCGCAACTTTTGCTGGATCTGTACAAAATTTGCACGTTTCAGATTCTCAATAGAACCTTCTTTGAAGATGAAGTCGACATGATGAACATCGTCTTTATAAACATCGTAGATCGGATCACCATAGATCTCTTGATAGATCTCATGGTATTCTCTCTTGACAAAAGGACTTTCGTCCTCGAAAGTGTAGCAACCAATCAACATAACATCCAAAAAATTTCTTCGATTAAGAAACCAAAAACACGCAGCTTTGATACCAACTTATGTAGCGGATAGTATGCTGCCGATGAAGAGTAATTATCATAATTCTATGCTGCATTAAGTGGCAACAATGTACATTGACGGAGCCGATTATGTTAAGTCAGTTCTAGGCATCGAGGGAGAGTATACTGCCGATGAAGAGTATGTGACCATGATTTACGAGCAGGAGGTCACGGTGGCGAAGCCCCTCGACAATGGAGAAGTTAGCTACAAAGTGCAAATAACAAATTATCTCTTGTGGAACACGAAAAGAGATAACCGATGCTCACTCACGCTTGAATATGACCAGCTATCTAACACCATAGCTGAGGTGGCTATTGGTATAGAATGACTTATAAGATATAGTCATTATCCTAAATACTTGTGTAGTTATCTTATATATGTTTAGACTTATCTACACACCAAACCTCTTGTATATATATGCATGTTATACATCAATGAAATACATCAGTTTACAATTCTATAGATGGTATCATAGCCCACGATCCACACAGTATAATCCGATCCATTATCGATCCGTGTCAAATATTCCGAGATTGAAATCATCTCGAGGGGGTGTATTAGGGACAAATGTTCCACATCGGTAGTTGGAAATGATCATAAGCAATATATAAGATGGATATACCACTCCAGTTATCACCAATTGGTTTTAGATTAAAAACTCATCTACCTTAATACTGAAGAAGAATAAGATCGTGAGTGTTTTAAGTTGTATTTTATAAGTTGTATTTGTATGTAATGTTTGTTTTCTATGATTTTTAATGTAATTTTTGTGTTGTATGTTTAAATAAATAAACAATCTTCTGGTAAGTATGGCAATAACATAGCATAGTAACTACTTGAAAACCCTTCTACTTGTGGCCAACCAAACAAGTAGTTTGTGTCTTAGATCAACTCAAGAAGCGAGTAACTCAGAAAGAGACATAATCTCTGTTTTGTCTTCTTCTGATGTCTACTTGCACGCTTCTAAAGAGATGCTAAACCCTTCGGATGTTGATGAACAATGCAAGTTATGTATTCCAAAAGAGATCAAAGGTTCAAGGGAAGATATATACATGTGTTACACATGAGACATTGGTGATACATTCATATTATGCAATAAATGTCATTTTCAAAGTATTTAGGTAGACATGATGCGACAACTTTGAACGATGCACTTAAGGCATATGTAGCAAACCTTCATTATGAAACTGATTAACCTAACGTGGAAGTCACGTTTCTCCCCACAAACAGATCAAACGGCTATGATTCGCGAAGCTATTGCTTGGTAAAGATATTTGTTACTGTGCTACAGTCTCTAACTCCATAACCAATCTTTATGTTTTGTCTTCTTTCAATGTATATGCTCTGTTTTAATGTATATGCTCTGTTTGAGATTACAACCATTGAACACGGAGAAGAAAGAATTTGATTCTTGTTGTTGTTTCAATTTCCAGATAACAGAAACAAAGCTTAGGTTCGACACACTCATGAATCTTCCTGCTTTGAGAAAAGTTGATGATAGAGTAAGCTCATCGATGAACTCAAACAATGGTCAATGGTGGTAGAGATTCAAGAGCGTTCTGGAAAGTGGTGGTTCTTAATGACATGTATATTTCTGATTCTTACCTCACCACTCTCCCGAAGTTATATCTCTATATGTTACTGTCTGAATCATTATATATATATAATAATGCCTAGCTTTGGGCGAATAAATAATGAGATGCTACATTCCCAAAACCGTATATCCTAAGTTGAAATATTCTCAACTCTGTGTAAGACATGACCTTGTGTCTTCTTCCTCTCTAAACACCATGAAACGCTTTGTTCCGCGACACAAGAAGGTCATCTCCTTCCCCGCTTGGTGGTTCTGAGCGTACCATTTGATCAAGAAACGTTCCCCCGAAGGAGACTCAACAAGGTGTACAGTCTTGGTGTAAAACGTTTTTGGAGATATTTTTGAGGGTGTTGGATTGTAGCTTTTAATGTTTTTAAAATTATATACCCATATACTTTTCAAAGTAGTTTCAACGAAAAAATTAAGACACTGTGGGTTTTTTTCAAACCTTCTAGAGTAGATCTAAGACCAAAGTCTTTGCCAAAAGAAAAAGTCATGTCTTACTCACACTTTCCTTTTGTCCTCTGTTTCCAGAATATGTTTCTCCACTTTTCCGGAAATTCTTGTGATCAAATTTGTACACAAGATTCTGTACTATGCAGCTAGTATCTTATTTACCATACTCAACTCCATCGATATCCCACTCACATTTACTATTTCCACCAGTGCCACCACACCATTGTTATAATTTTACTAAATTGTTTAACTTAACAGATTACAATTGTATACCAAAGTATTATCCAGCCAAGATATGTATATATGTATGTAGAAAACATATGTATAACTCTTGTGACAAATGATAAATGAAAAAAAAAATGTAATCAAACTTGTACACGATGTTCATTACTATTCACCAAGTATTTTTTTTTCTTCTCCTTTTCCATCCTTTCATTATTTTCATATGCAATGATCCACACACGGACCACTTCAGTGTTTTAGATTTTACAATTTTATAGTTATACTAAACAAAGAAGAAACTGAAATCACAAAATAATTCATCGGCTAATACGGCTTAGAATTATC